ATTTTTATAAAGCATAAACAAAAATCGATCTTTTCTGGCCGTGATTTTGGGGATGTCACAGTTGGTATCAGAGCATTAGTTTAAGAGAACTAGGAATATAGATTTATTTCTAGACTTAAACTTAGAATGCTAAGCGATGATTGTGAGGTGTGAGCACTAGCTTATTTTAGGAATAATGCCTAAATTGTGTTTATGTGCTAAATGCTTTGCGCATGATATGATTTGTTCGGATCTATGGTCTGTTGCCGACCGGATCTGGAAACCTTATGTGTTTAGGATTCTAAGCGTTTAACTACGATATTAGAACTAGCATATAAATGTTTCGGGGTGATAAGGATGATTTAAGACGTCAATCCTAAATTAAGATCTAGATTCACCTTTTTTCGGTGTAGAGATCAAGATGGCAAGAACCCGTAGCGGAAACGTAAATGCGAATGGGAACCGAAACCAACCCCTAGTGGTTCAGCAAATACCTGTTGTTGAAGAAGTTGTGCTTGAGCCAGTCACCATGGCTGGAGTTCAAGCCATGATTCAGGCTATGTTAGCTGAACGAAGGGAAGAAATGAGATAAATGTTGAACAGTGACGAACCTACCGTACATGTTGAACCAACGGAGCCAGTTCCCGAGCAATCTGAGGAAGGGAACTACAACCGCCAAGTGAGTCAAGTAGGGACTCAAGGTGAGCAAAGGGATGGCCCAGAAGGGAGAAACAACAAGGATGGGCGGATGTACAAAAAATTTCTTGGGTGCGAAACCACCAAGTCTCTCAGGAAGCCCGAAGCCGGTTGAGATTATGGATTGGATCTCTAAGCTGGAGATGGTGTTTGAGAGCTGCAGCTGTAACGAGAAATAGAAGACTGTCTTCGCAGTAAGACAACTGAAAACTGGAGTCTTGAGCTGGTGGAAGCTATTGGCAGATACGATGCCACGAGGAGAAGCCTTAAGGATGTCGTGGGAAGAGTTTTTGGAACAGTTGAAAATGCAATACTGCTCGGAGATAGATCTGATAGACCTAAACAACGAGTTTCAGAACCTGAAGAAAGGAAATATGAGTGTTGATGAGCATACCACCGCATTCACCGAGAGGATGAAGCTATTCCCCTACTTGGTGCCTACTGAACTCTCCAAGATTGATAGGTTTGCTAACGGGCTGCCCACTGACTTTGGCCCAATGGTCAAAATGACAACTACCTTAAAAGTAGTTGTTAGGGCAGCTAAGAACGTAGAGGCCCAGATAAGAGAAAAGGGTCTAGAAAAAGATAAGGTAGGAGAGAAGCGAAAGTTTGAAGGATCTTCGAGGCCGAACAAGGAAAGAAAATTCTCAAAGCTTGGAGGAGCAAATGGAGGTGAAGCAAGATGGTGTGATAGATGCAAGAAGAAGCATGGTGGAAAGTGCAACGAAGAAGTGACTTGTTACAAGTGTGGGAGGACTGGTCACTATTCCAAAGACTGCACGCATAATGACAAAGTATGCTATGGATGTGGAGGCAAGGGGCACATGTCCAGAGACTGCCCAAGGAAAAATAAAGCAGCAAGACCAGAAACGCCACCAAGGCCAAGGGCATTTCACATGATCCTCGACGAAGCAGAGAACCATGCGAGGAATCAATAATGAGGACTTCTTACCCGAGGATCGGATTATGCAGTAGTCATAGTTTCGTATGATGTAGCCTAGTAGAGGCATAGTCTAGGGTGAACTTGAACACCTATGTAATCGTTTCAAGAAATGATATAAAACCTTCGTTTTGTTATCTGATGTGTTGAATGATTGTATGAATTGCTTCATGGTGACTTGGGAAACTGCGAGACAATACTTGGGACGAGTATGAGTAGGTGTGAATGGTAGTAGAGGCCTATACTACCGGAAGCACAGGACTCACACTTGGATCGGGGAAAGTCACACTTGGATCGGGGGTAGTAGAGGCCTATACTACCGGAAGCACAGGACTCACACATAGATATGAAGTATTTTATATAAACTACGTGCTATGTGTGCATATTATATGAATACTTGCTGTCTATGCTGGATGAACGTTTTATACATGTTTTAAAGAATTTAATATGTATATATATTTTATATATACGAATATGTTGGGTATGAGATGGGTAGATGAATGATGAGAGATAGAAGATGATATATTGGCAGCTATAGACTTATTGCCTATGGGACAAACACCGGTAGCTATGGACTTAGTACCTGTTAAACGTTGGTAGCTATGGATTTACTACCTGTTGGGAATTGGTAGCTAGGACTTAGTACCTGTTGAACATTGGTTGCTATGGACTTAGTACCTATTAGATAAAGACTGGTAGCTATGGATTTAGTACCTGATGAATAGACCATAGCAGCTATGGAATTAGTGCTTTATGAACGAACATTGGCAGCTATGGATTTAGTGTCAGTCCTATAACCCTGGAGCTAAGGGACTTCGGAATAAACGAATGCAGGATAGATGACTCTTAGGTTAAATCCTTAAAGAGTAAAGAAGATAATGGGGATGGGTAATTGGGTTGATTGTTTGATTGAACATAGTAATTATATTATTGTGGGTTGAAAACCCTATGTACTTACCAGGTTTCCCAACTTGACCCACTCAGTTTATGTATATCACAGGTGACGAAGTGAAGTGACATTACACTGAGAGATTTAAAAAAGATGTAGATCACTAGTGTAAATCATTGTAAGTTTTGTTTATGCTTATGTTTCGGTATTAACGATGACATCCCAAACATTTTAAAATGAAATAAATATGTTTCTTCAAAAATGTTTTAATAACGTATTTACCATGTTTTTCTGGGAACAAATTCCGCAACCTTTTTATAAAATGAAGTACTCTGATTTTTATAAAGCATAAACAAAAATCGGTCTTTTCTGGCCGTGATTTTGGGGATGTCACACCCCTTTTGCTAGAAAATTCGATTTTCCATCCAACTCCAGCCACCTTTCAAAATTTTGACACCACCATTTTTTTCCTTTTGGTCAAGGCTACAAACCCCACTAAAAATATTCCTCAAAGCTCGCCGGAAAATTTCGCCAGAATCTCAAGCCTTTTCCGGATTTCTTGGGTTTTTGAGGTAAATTACTTTTGATGGAGTATTGAGTAAAGCTTCAAGCTTAGGGTCGAGTATTGCAATATTTTCAAATCCCAAATTTTTGTGTGTAAATTTTCGACTTTTAAAAGTCATGGTTACCAGCGGGTACATTCTTTCCTTGACTTTAATTAACCAATATGCATGTTTTAGAACAACAATTTAGATGGTATTGCATCAAATGAGTCTAGGAAATATTTCTTGTATTGATTGTTGATCCTTTTTAGAAGTTGATAGCTTCATTTTATTTACTTTTTTTTATAGTTTATTTTAGCATATTTCATTCATAATTTAGATAATTTCCATGCATATTTTCCTTTTTGTTATTTTATGACTATTTCGGGTACTCTCGAATCTTGTGAGCATAATTGCAGGTTTTCGGGTCTAGCGGAGCGGGAGTGTTCGGGACGTATAGGAGGCGATGAGATTTGGTAGACAAAAATGACGTTGGGCTTGATGGGTAGTGGAGATGATGCATAGAGTGATCTTGATGATTATTTGAAGACTTGGAGAGAAATAAACTTTAAATTTGCAAGATGCGGGGGAATATTCAAGCGTACGTAAATTATTAATCGGACGATTATTTGGAGGACTTAGAGAGGTCAAATTGGGCTTAAAATGAAGAAAAACTTGAAGAAAATGGGCTAGGAGGTGATTGGATTCGACCTGGGCCAAGTGGGCTAAGCTATGGAGGCCCAAAACCTCAAAGATGCTACATCCAGGGACCACCCGCGCAACCCACCCGCGCAAGAGCACGTGGGTCGCGCAACCTCCTGCAGGGGTAGTTTCGGAAATTCTTCTTTTGAGCTATTTGAGGAAGGTTTGTGCCCATCTTTTGCATACTCTTAGACATCCGATTTTTGGAGATTCTCTCTGGAGTTTTGAAGACTTTTGAAGGCCAAGAACCCTTGAAGAACATCATATTTTTACCTCTTGATTCTTGCTTAATGTTTGGTACAAATTTCTCTAACTTTGTTTCTTTGTGTTTAGCCATGCTTGGCTAAGCTAATCTTGGTTGACTTTTGGTTAATCCTTTGAACTTTTGTTGAATGTTGAAGAATCCATAAACATGTTCTTGAATCTTTATGGGAATGTTTTGTGTTTTAACATCTTATCATTACTTGTATGTTTTAGTTCATGAGTTTAAATGTGTTTGTGGTGATTAGTTGGCTAATTTCTTGATTAAGTAAAGGATCCTCAAATTAGCAAGCAACAAATGATTTTTGTGTTGTTTTTGCTTCACACAATCATAAAAACATTTCCTCTAACATGGTGGTGAAAGCATTTGACCCCTCTTGGATTTGGTGACTTTTTGGTTCTTAATGCTAGTTGACTTTCACTAATTACATGCTATTTGGAATTAGTGACTTTGACTAAGGAAATTGTTATGAGCTTCTCTAGCCATTTCAACAATTAAGAAAATTCTAGGTAATCTCAAGCTCCTTGGATTACTATAGCCAAATTGAGGATTTAAAACAAGTATTGCACCATTGAATTCTAATGATATGTTCATCAAAAGTCAAAGTGAGAAAACTTTAAGTCAACCATCTTTCCCTTATTGATTTTACATCAAATTCTTATTTTTGTTGCAATTGTCTATTTAAATCATAGTTAATTCTAGTTTGTTTCAAGTATTTCAAAACATCAAAACCCCCATTTTTAATTTATTGTCATATTCCAAGTATTTTACAAAGAGATTTTTCATAGAGTTATCAAATTGAACCAATCTCCGTGGATTCGATCCCTTTACCAGTATACACTATTTTAGTGTGTAATATTTAGGGTTATTATTTGTGTTGGCATCGACAACCACCAGAAGTCCATAGGGAGTTGATTGGTGAATTGAACTACAATATTATTTGTTGCGGTTGTTGGTCCGGATGGTTGTTAATTTGCTTATAGGTTGGTCATGTCCACGTCAAGAAAGCGCTCGGCTACTGCCCGAGGCAAATCCCCCGCTATAGCTCAAAATAAGGAACCAAACATTCCAAGGTTCTGGGACTCAAAGGTGAATGAAAACTACTGAAGACATTTGCCTAGGAAAGTTCCCTCAACCAAATTTGTGTGCAGGCCCACGCTCATTCCATTAGGGGTTCTTGATGGGGTCACGAAATTGTTCCATAACATCGAGTGGGAAAACCTTCTCAATCTTTTGGCACATACTTACCATCTCCTTACTAGTGAGTTTCTTGCTGACTGCGGGTTAGACAACGAGAGGAAAAAAGTTGCATTCCAACATATGGGGGAGCCGATGCACATCAATTTCGCAAGGGTAAATGACATCTTGAGCTTACCTTCCTCAAACACATTCGTGGATTTCGATTCACTGCCTCCAAAGTTCAACCACAAGAATTTTTGGATAGAAATTACAAGTGGATTCTTTTCTTGTGCCGGTCACAATATAGCCACCTCCATTATTCACCCGTGCCTCCGCATTGCCCATCGTATCTTAATGTGCACTATTTTTTCCCACAAAGAAGTCGTTCAAGTCACGAAGATTGAGATATTCTTCCTTTGGTGCATGACACGACATGAAAACCCATCGATCCTGGATTTTGCCTCGTTCTTTTTCTACAAATGCGCACTCATGAAAACCAAAGCAACCGGTGATATTTGCATTGGAGTATTTGTCACTCTTTTAGCCCAAGACCTTGATATTAAGCTCCTGGATGACTACTCTCCTTAGACAAGAAAATTCTTTTGGATAAGCATTTTATAACAAACATGCATTACATCCGTCGTAGGAGCAGAGACGGTTTTACATGGTATTGTGTTTAAGGGGTCTGATATCTTATTATTCCCGAACCTCGATTCTCCAACTTCACTTTCCACGATCACACTCAATGGAAACTCGATAGGACCATCACCAAGACATTTGACGAGGACGAGCTCCATGCTCAAGACAATGACGGGATGCATATGGATGACGAGCCCGACAATGAGCCCACCCATGGTCCATAACAAACCTAACCACAAGCACCTCTCGGATATTACCCTTTTTCCCCTAATTATGTCGAACGGTTCAAGGCTCTTTGTGTCTCCAACCAAATCATGTCACATCAAATGCACCATATGTGGGGGTGGAACCAATCACAAAACCACTTTGAGAACATACCAACTCCTCCTCCATATCCATACCCTCCCCCCACTCACCTTTATCTGCCTCCACTTTACCCTTACCCTTACCATCAATACACATATCCTCCTCCCGACCCCCCCCCCCCCCGCTTTAGGAAAATATTTACTTCTAAGCTTGGGGTAAGGTATTTCCTTTTCTTTTTATTTACTCATGCATTTTAGTTTAGGTTGCATACCATTTTAGCCTTAATTTGCATTTATTTATTTTTTATTTTATAAAAAAATTTCCAAAAAGATTTTATTTTCTTCCTTTTCACTTTTTATTTTTGCATGGCATTTAGCTTAGGGCATTAGCATTCATGCAATTTTGTTATCTCCTTATTCTTATCCCCGAACATTTTTACTTGAAAGACTCGACACGCCTTAAATACAATTCTTTTGGAAACTCACATAACAAATAAGAATCGCTCTTAGGGACTTTCAGTTGTTGCATCTTCTTTTATATATACGTGGGGAGAGAGTGCAAGTAGTTATGCATATTAATCGACTCATGACTAGTGGGGCATGCGTAGGGGGACAACTTAGCCTCGTGCCGACTAGTTCTTCACCCGCATGTTCTTCACAAGACATAATCAAACCCCAAAGAAAGGAATAAAAACTAGATTTTGCTATTTTGAGATCGTTAGTGTCTAACTGCTACATTACACATTATATTTCATCATTTTATGATTTAAACACATTTTTTCCACTTAATCTCAAATTAGCCTTAATATAGTTGTGGTCAACTTTTGCACTTAGTTTCTTTAGATTCGCTCATTTGGCTTGTTGTTTGGGTTAGATTTAGAGTCCGCTTATAGTTTGTATATACTTATGTTTTGTATTTTTATTTCATGCTATATTTGTAAAAATCCTGTGGTAAACCAAAAAAGTGGGCCACAAGAAGAGAAAAAAAAAAAAAGAAAAGACAACTACCCCATTTTTCTAGTTTTGTTTTTGTGTTTCGTAAATCAAAACCAAGTTGTTTTAAAACGTCGTTCGAAAAATTTTGCACTAATTTTCGAAACTTTGTAGAAGAAGTCTAGTATTTAGTATGTGTATGTGAAGTTTCATATATCTTTATTTTATTTGGATAAGTAAAGTTTTGATCTTTTGTGAAGTGTGAACTTTACTTTTGTTGATTTTAGTCTTTAGAAGTCGAATAATATATATATATATATATATATATATATATATATATATATATATATATATATATACACTTGTTTTGAAAAAGGCGGATCCTATCACAATCATAAAATATGAATATAGTTAAATCATTGTGTTGTTATAGATTTTGTTAATAACTTAAGTATCTGTATTTTTAATTGTGTCTTTGGGGTTTTGTTGTTCAAAAAATAAAAATATTAAATATTAAATATTAAATATTAAAAAATATTAAAAAAATAAAAATGAAAAATGAAAAAAAAATAAAAATAAATAAATAAAATTAAAAATAAAAATGGTCGGTTCACGGAGTTGCATCTATTTTTTCATTTGTTAGATGTTTAGACCTTACTTGGTTTTAGTTCGTGTAATTTGTTTCTAGTTTGATGTCTTTCTAGTTTAGATTTCATCTTTTGTTGGCAACTACAATGACGCCCTTTACTCATCGTGTGCTCAATTCCTCGCTCTACATGGATCCTATTTTGGTGGAAGCACTTACTCTTCTAGATGATTGTAGTTTGACAACCTTTGTACATAGCTCGTTCCTTTCCATTTTTGGCCCCAATTATCTTCTTCTAGGTTTTATTTCTTGGCCTGGGGTTGAAGTTGTGAGGAGTGAGGAACATGCTAACCGAGGGACGCTTTCTGATGGAATCTGAACTGTATCGGACCACGAAACAATGTCACATAAACCATAATAGTGAAGTATGCATGCTCATTTTGTATCTTGATCAACATGTATCCCTTACTAGAAAGGTAACAAAGGCTTATCCCTTAAAGCGGTTCTCATCTCTAAAATTGGATTATATGTTTTTATTTTAAGGGTGTGTCGTGAATTTCTACCTAAGATGTTCATTCTTTTTCCTTTTAAGGATAGTTGAATTTCATTTTTTTCTTGTCTTACTTGAGGACAAGTAAGGTTCAATCTTGGGGTGATTTGATAGTTTCATTTTATTACTTCTTTTCTTAGTTTATTTTTAGTTAAAACCATCTCATTTTAGTTAATCTTCATGCATATTTTCTCTTGTTGTTTTTTTTCTCCTTTATCGGGTGCTTTCTAGTCTTTTAATCTTAATTGCAGGATTTACCAAAGACTATTTATCATTAGAGGTATGGAAGGAGTGTGTGTCACACCCTAAAACCGAGAACGGCGAAATACGTTCTGTGGTGGAGGACGTCATGTACAGTATCATACCAATGCATAATAGTAAAGACAAGCAACAACATCCATTGCATTAGTGTAATAATTGTAATACAAGCGTGTTCTGTACATTTTGATAGACACTAAAAATATAATCAAAATAAAAGATGAGTCTCGTGTATGCTCCATCTTCTCAAAAGCTGCGTCTGTACCTGTCTACTGAGGACCTGAGAATACAAGTTATTTTGAAAACGAGTATCAACATAAAGCTGGTGAGTTCATAAGTTTTTAGTGTCATGTCTTGTATAAAAGTGTTTACAATCATGTAATATAATAGGAGTTCTCAAGTTTTTGAAAAATAGTATGATCCTTAGAAAATCCTATATTTTCCAGTAAAAGTAGTCTTCTACCAAGACTCGGTTATTTATAAGTTTGATTCTCTGAAAATGTAAAAGTTTTCCCAGTGGAACTATCAGTGTGAAAATATAGTTTTAAGTTTCGTTCATATAAAGAAATTGGGAAAAAATAGAGTTTTACCCCAACAATGTCACTGTCGGCTGAATACAGTAGAGATGCAAACTCAAGATAGTATTATATATATATTTATATATATATATATACACACTTCGGGGAGTCCGTTTTACCTTTAATTCTTAATGTGTTACTTAAGGTCTGAATGTGAACTCGTATATAACCATGTTGAGTGAAAATAGTGTGATAGTTGACCCTCCAGGTCACACGTAGTGTAGTGATGTTTTGTCACCCCTGGGCCTAGTCAGCTCGGACTGTAGCTAGCAGTCGGTATGTGGGAGTGTTCGTCCTGTATAGATCTATACACATAGTGTTCGCTCTCCCTCCAGGATGCTCATGCTCTGGTTACACGGTGATTGCATAGTGGAGTGTCGTATGGAGAAGTAGTGTATCACATTCTATTTTAGTATGTTGTCTCATAATTAGAGTATAATGTACTTCTTCGTATAATGTATTGAGTGTTTGTTCTCTTTTATAGTATATAGTATACTCTTCGTATAGTGTATAGGGTTCTCTTCGTATAGTGTATAGTATTTTCTTCGTATGGCGTATAATATTCTCTTCATATAGTGTATAGGGTTCTCTTCGTATAGTATTTAGTATATATAATCTCATAATTATAGTAACCATAGTGAGTATCATAGTAACAGTAGTAATGAGTGGTAATCCTTAACTATACCTATTATAGTTAAAATAGAGATGTTAGTTGAATGCCTTTGATACACAAAAGTGTTGAACTGAGGTGAAGACTTTTATATCCAACACGTATATATATATATATATATATATATATATATATATATATATATATATATATATATATATATATATATATATATATATATATTATATAACTAAGAATTCAACGACAGTCGGACAGATAACAGAGTACCCTAAGTCCACAATCAAACAAGAACAGGAAATAAGGTGAGCTATCAGTTCTAAGTCCTTCAATCCTTACTTATATAAATATATTGGTGTAGATATGATTTGGAAACAAAATAAGTTTAAAAGCATTGAAAAATAGTTTTAGAATAATTAAACAAGAATATAAGTTTGATAAACATTTAAAACAACTTTGTTGGCAAGGTAATTTTGAAAGTATAGAAAATCCTTTTGGTAACAAGTTATAAATCACATGTGATTGATACCATAACTTGTTCGATTCAACTTGTATTCCCCCCTAAAAGCATTTATGTGACAACCCGAAGTTGTTCCATCGCCACAACCCGTTCCATCCGTAAAACTCGTCTTAAGCGAATTATTCCGATTTCGTTTTTGGATTAGGTCAATTAAGTTAAGACTTTTATTTTGACCTTGTAAGTATCCAAACACGTTAGAAAGACATGAAAACTTCCCAAACTAGTAATTAGAAAAAATTTAGTTTCGACCATATCGGGTGACGACAACTTAATCGGGTGCGACCAAAAAACTCGGTTAACGTCAGTATCGGGTAAAATTCCACCGTGTCTAAAATCCAAACCATATTTAAATTTGTTTAAGCCTCATTTGAATCCTTTTCACTCTCTCCTTATCTCTCTAACCTCTCTCCTCAATCCCAAATCTAGGTCTAAAAATCACTCATTTCAAGCTTCAAATCACCAAGGTAACTATCCTAGCTTCTAGTATAACATCCTTAGCCTTCATTTTCGTGTTCAAATCATGGAATAGGACCATAAACATGTGTTTACGGCCCTAGAACACTCTTGGGCTGTGAACACATATAAATGGTG